GATATGCCTTGGAAATTTGTAAGGAGTCGAGCGGCCGTGGGCGAGTCTGAGTGTTGGCCCCAGGCTTTGGACCCAACGACGACCTACCGTTTGACACCGAAAATATGCCAAAAATTCGAACGAGTCGTACGAAGCCTCCTCCGGAAGGATACGAGGAGATAGAAGGAGTAAGAGCTACACTTGTCTCCAACGCGTTTCATTGAGGTATTGACGCTTGACAGGTTCTGGAGGACTATGCGCGTAAAATGCGTGATGCCGGTAAGCTGTTGTCGGTTCAAAGAAGTTTGTTGCCTCAATGCTAATTTTTGGTTAACCAGAGAACGAGTCGCACGAAGGAAAGCGCAGGACCGAATCCTTGTGGCCCATCATGCGCATCTCACACACGCGTTCACGATACATTTACGAGCTTTACTACAAGAGAGAAGCCATCTCCAAGGCACTTTACGACTGGCTTCTGAGGCAAGGCTATGCAGATGGAAAGTAAGCTTATCCATGTTACCAGATTCCATGTTTGGGGTCTAAACCACCTTTAGTCTGATCGCGAAGTGGAAGAAACCCGGTTACGAGAAGCTTTGCTGCGTTCGGTGCATTCAGTCAAAGGTTCGTGCCTCTTTCAATTCGTGATGGTCAAGTTGACACCCCTTCGCAGGACATGAACTATCAAGGCTCTACATGCATCTGCAGAGTACCAAAAGCTCAGGTTAAGGCTGGTACTGTGGTGGAGTGTGTCCATTGTGGTTAGTCTTGTCGTCGATGTGTTTCTTAATCTCTTCTGACCGCTTGAACAGGATGCAGGGGTTGCAGCTCGGATTCATAATTGCATTCTCCAACAATGGCTGGTGTTCGGGCATCGTCTTTAGCCTGTCGTTTATGTTAAAGCTCACTATCCAACATGTTTCTTAATCATACGCTTCTTGAGACCAATAAGCTTTCTACCTAGTGCGCCACTTGGAAGTGGACATCATAAATTAACTACAAATATGAAAACCGAGGCTTGGGCGTCACCCAATTGGATAATGGATATTGAGATCCTACTACCACACGAGTACAGTGGCTTATAATAAACGGAAGAGTGGACGTCCAAATAAATAGTGTTAACCGCATATGAATGTTGCAACTCTTGTTTCGTTCGGCATTGGTCCATATGAGCTTGAGATATCGTCACTGGCTGCCTATGCCCATCATATTTCAATCCTAATTCACCTTCAGACTCATTTTACTTACGGAAATCAAAATAATTTCACTATGAGCCAGTGGGAAAGGCCATAGGATCCAATTGTCGGGCCTATCGCAAGCCGCAAGACCAGTGCCAAGTAGCCGGATCCGGGGAGATAGCTGTGTATCTCACATGAGCTTAAAAGCGTGATTTTAAGCGGAGCTATCTGCTATTGATATGAGGCCAATAACACCAAAAGTGGGTTCGAAATACCTGCGCAAGGACCAGCTACTCGAGAAAATTGGCATCTTTGACTCTTGTCTACGTTTCCAAACGTTATTAACGTTAAAAGGTGGTGAGTTGAGCGGACGACAACACTGGGCAAGCGCCCTGGAAGCTTGTATAAATCAGACCACAGCAATGGTCCGGTGCTGAGTCGTTCCTTGGACCCAACCGCCTCCGTCTCTCACGACGAACACAACGGAGAGAAAAATGGATCTTGGGCCTCTTCACGACATGATGAACCTCGCAAAAAGAGCAGCGCCAGAACAGGTGAGCTACAGCGACTGCTGCCACTAACCATGGGTTTAACTCTGGACCCCCGATAGGGCGGCGTTATTTCTGGGATCAATCCGATTGCATTTACCACCACTGATCCCATTAGGATCTGGATTATTCAACTTGGTTAGTTTTTCTAGATTTACTGGAGGTAGCACACTGTCTGAGCATTCTGAAAGCAATCATCCTTGGCATGACCCAGCTACTGTCTCTTGTGATGGCACGAATTAGGCAACCCCGTGTGAGTTCACGTGTCCCGTCTCACCGCACTTCAACCTCGATCTTATCTGTATTGACCATTCAAACCAGGTCATCGCAGAGGTCATAGCAGGAGTCCTTCTAGGACCTACCGTCATGGGTCATATCCCCAACTTCACGAATTCGATCTTCCCTGCTGCTTCCATACCATATCTCAGTCTTACCGCGACGATTGGTCTGGTCCTGTTCCTGTTCTTGACCGCTCTCGAAGTCGACGTTCGCATCATGAAGCGAAATGCAAAGAGCACCCTTTTCATTTCGTTTGCTGGTATTATAATTCCATTTGGGCTTGGTGCCGCAGTGGCCGTCCCAATTTACAAGAGCTTTGTCGACCAGAGCAATAACTTTGGGTACTTTGTGCTCTTCGTTGGCGTTGCCATGAGTATTACGGCCTTCCCTGTTCTTTGTCGTATCTTGACGGAACTCAAACTCTTGGATACGACTGTCGGCGTCGTGGTGCTCAGTGCAGGTGTAGGGAATGATGTCGTCGGATGGGTCCTCCTCGCCCTGACGTTGGTGATATTCTCTTTTAGCATTAATTTTTTCTTATATCCCTCCTAGAGTTGCTTTGGTCAATGCCTCTGGAGGCTTAACTGCTCTCTATGTTCTGCTGGCCTCGGTCGCCTGGACCCTTTTCATGTTATATCCGGTCAAATGGGCATTCCATCTTGTGGCCAGAAGAACAGGCTCGCTCGAAAATGGACAGCCGACACCCATGATGATGATTATAACGCTGATGATGGTCTTTATCTCTGCATTTATGACCGATATCCTTGGTAAGGTGACATTTATACGCTCTTTTCCTACATACTGAGCGCTTGGATAGGCGTCCATGCCATCTTCGGAGCTTTCATTGCTGGTTTGATGTGAGTAACGCGTTGCCCATGTGAACCAATACTCAACCCCTGCCAGTATTCCTCACGAAGGCGGGTTTGCTATCTCTCTTGTGGAAAAGCTAGAAGATTTTATTACGATTATACTGGTTCCGATTGTGAGTCCACCTCAACCCATCAACGATCTCGCTCATTTCTGGAAAGTACTTCACACTCTCCGGTCTCAAAACTAATCTTGGTCTTTTAAACACCGGGAAAGCATGGGGATACACGATACTGCTCTGTGCTATCGCTTTCGTTGGGAAGTTCTTCGGATGTGTTGCTGCTGCAAGGACTTTCAAGTTCAACTGGCGCGAGTCTAGCACTATCGGAGTATTGATGAGCTGCAAGGGGTGAGTCTCAGTCTCATGCAAGTTCTTTTGCTAATGGGCATTGTTTATCCAGGTTGGTTGAGCTCATCGTGCTGAACATTGGTTTGCAGGCTGGCATTTTGGACCAGCGGTTGTTCAGCATGTTCGTGGTCATGGCCCTCGTGCTAACGTTCATGACAACGCCAATTGTGTTGACCATTTATCCACCCAAATATCGGAAATTGGGTGTTGATGCAATCATGCCCAAGGAAAAGGCAGACGAAGAGGAGAAGGTCACTCCCCCTACTCCCGCGCCGCGTGATGAAGCCGGATTCAAGTCCCGTTTCTCTGTCATTCTCAACAGGCTTGAACATGTCCCTGCCATCATGACTCTCACTCAACTTCTCCAACCCTCTCAGTCGTCTGTCACTCTGGCACCGTCAACCAGGGGGGAATCCTCTAATGGAAGTAACCCGAATATAGCATCGGCCGAGCCCTCGGTTCAACTTGATGCCCTTCGTCTCATCGAACTCACGGATCGTACGTCTGCGGTCATGCAATCATCTGAAGCAGACGACATCATCCGCCGAGATGCTTTGCTCTCGATTGTCCGCACCTTTGGATATATCAATGCGATGCCCGTCACCACGTCACTTTCCGTGGTACCCTATGAGAGCTTCTCCAACAGCGTCGCATCTCATGCTAGAGAGAAAGAGTCAGATTTGGTGATCATTCCTTGGTATGCAGGCCCCGAAGAAGGCGCCCAGGTTGGAACCTTTAACCCGTTCGAAAACTTGTTTGGTCAAGGAAGAGGAGCCTCGAACGAAAAGTCGTCACTTGCGATCTACTCTCACTTCGTGCGCCATGTATTTGCCAACAACCCGTCCGATGTCGCCTTGTTCGTCGACCGTGGCATTTCTCTGCTCACGGAGGGACAGCAGGCAGTTCATGGCCAACACATCCTTTTCCCTTTCTTCGGTGGTCCAGACGATCGTCTTGCGTTGTCGTTTGTTGTACAGCTCTGTGCAAACACCTCGATTACGGCGACTGTGCTACGGGTGAAGATGGTCGAAAGGGACACGCTCACGCCAACTGAGACTGGAGAGACGGACGTAAAGAACCTTCCGGTTCCGCATAGTGCGACTGTGATGTCTCATTCTGGGTTCCCAGATACTCTCTATGCTCCTCCTACCACTCAAACTCGCATGGAATCCCAGAATGCCGACGGTCTCGCTTTTGCTCGGTTTATTGGAGGCGAGCGCCCGGCCTTACCTGGAAATGTCGAGGCTGCATTGAGGAGGATCAAGTTTGAGGATCTGGTGACCTCGCAACCTCTGGCTGAATTAATTCAGCGCGCGAATGAAGAGAGCGCCACTCTCGTTCAGACGAAGAAGGGCTTGTTGCTCGTTGTTGGCAGAGGCAGGCGAATGGCTGTTGCCTCCCATCATGCGGAACTCAAGACTATTGTCCAGGAATATACGGATAAAGGAATGGGAAGGATCAGTGGAGATGTGTCGAGGACGCTCGGGGACGTTGCGACGGCATTCATGGCTGGAGTCAAGGCTAATTTGCTGGTTATGCAAGCAGCTATGCCAGCTATCGAGGAGTAGGAACACTCCAAGTGCCGTGCCGAAATGGAATGTGCGAAACATACACAAGATTACTTGGCCGATAATTCCTCAGAATTTGTATTTACGAACAACTAGTAGATGAAATATCTCTTTACATTTAACAATTCGGTGTTAAACACCGTGTAAGTATATAAGAAAATTATGAATATATTAGCAGGGTATACTGGTAAGTTGTGTAGGTTCTATTAAAGAATTGGATGGACTTGAAAAGTTCAGCAGTGTGGCGCAGAGGCTAGCGCGCAGGGCTCATAACCCTGAGGTCACTTGATCGAGACAAGTCACTGCTATGTCGGTTTTTTTGTTCTTCGCTTTCTCAAAATCTTTTAGTCACGCTTTCGGCTATGATATCATTGTATTTACTTTTACTTCGGTAAATGTGCTTTGACACAATCGTGATTAGGCGTCGTTTGGAGGTCTCGAGTCTGCCTCGTCTGTCAGCCGCCCCTTCGTCGTGTGGCTTGACCTCTTCCATATGGCGTCCACACAAGAAAACCTCCCAAAAACGAACGGACTCACGTTGGCAGAAATCTTGGATAAAGATGTGGATATACAGGAACGCGTAGCCGTAGACCCGATGGACGATAGCGAGAAATCCGACGACGAAGGGGCACAGGAAGTGAAGGAGGGCTATTGTGTAGAGTGCGAAGGTAGGTCCAATCGCCCTATTTCTCGATTTATAGAGTCTCGGTTTCGCTAAATCACGTCCATCTTACAGACCAACCCGCGGAACTTTTGTGCAAGGAGTGCAGCGACCAGTTCTGCGCTGTGGTACGTTTAGATACACGTGGATATCGTTTAATGGATCTTTTTTAAAGCTGTCGCTTTAGTGTTTTGCAGCTCAACATCGAAAGGGAACGCGCAAAGGGCACTACACAACTCCTCTAGTTACCGCAGAGCCAAAATCCCAGACAAAAAAGGCGCCAAATGGCGTCGAGTCTCAAAAGGACGAGGAAATGACTGATGGCGATAGCGATGATGAAGAAGTCCGGGAGGATGAGGCTCCGGTCACAACTTCTCTCGACAATAAGGCGAAAGAACAATACGTACACAGATCAAAGGTATTTTCAACCTAAATTTTGGTAGTAGGAGACTATTCATACTATTATCTCAGTTCATCCCACTACGCCTTACCTATGGCGAACGCAAATATCTGCGACTACTGGAAGCTGCGTTGACGGTGTCAGAGTACACAGACAAGATAGACGTTTACGTGTTCAATAAAGTGAGTCGTCATGCTTGTCCTCATCTCCTGCCCTAACGAGTTACAGTCTAGGGCAAAACGAATCGTGGCCCAAATTCGTGAAATTTGTTCCATCATTTCCGGTTTATTGGTCGCCGCAGATTACAAAACAGGTCAAGAGCTTTTTGAATCACGCGACTTTTCTGCGAATGCGGACTTCTATAGGAGGATATTCGAGTTGGGTCGTCGGCACAAAATCATGAATCCTGAGAAGATGCGAAATACGTATGGAAAACTCATATATATGCTTCAGGACTCTCAGATGCCAGAGATTCAGGACATGCTTGGCTTCGGTGTTGTATCACCGATCAGGACGGTCTATACTGTCCTGGAGGAAGGAGGAGCCCTTGATATGCTACGGGAGGACATCATCGACATCGCTACTTCAGAAATTGGTGCCGAGGATAGATCTAGGCGGGAGATCCAAGGCGCAATCAAAGCAAAGGAACGAGCAATTGAGAAATTGGCTTACAAGTACTCACGGAGCACAGACATGGACGACGAGTTGCTGAAGCAGTGTCTTTACTCCATTGGGGACAATAATGCGTTCCTTCGGACGAACCGGGACCCCTGCGAGAAGCTGATACAATATTTGAAGAAATACTTTCATCCAACAACGCCTGACTCCGGTCGAAGCCTTGCAATTCGTAGCGGGAGAAATGGGGCTCGGTTAACCCATGGACATGAGAAACAATACTCTTATTGTTTGCAAAGTCTCACGTTATGGAAGGAAATTTTAGGCGGTGAGATCTCTCTCTCTCTCTCACATGCGAAAGAAAATTTTGGGGGTCTGAACTGGATCCATAGATATGTTTGAGCTGTGGAGTTTGGCAGAGGATGATCTCTTGTCAGAGACGATCTCTTACCGACTACGTGATACTGGCCAAGGTTTGTAGCTTGTTTATCTTGACATCATCCAAATATTAATTGCTTTTCCAGGTCTCAATAGAGTCCAACCTGCTCCAAAGACCGCTCGCAAAATGCATAACATCCTTCATCGCGCTCAAGCTAACATTGGATATTGGGTTGGCAGCTCGGTTGTACATATGGGTAAGCATAATCGCTTCTACGTAACTCCCTGCTTAGTTTCGATACTACAGGTGATCACAATGTACCAAATGCACACTTCTTCCTCGACAAGTACACACAGGTGTACCGTATCACAAATCCTATCTGTAATACCCTCGGAAAAATTCCTGAACTCATGAAAAAACCATCGTTAAAGAAGTTTGTCGAGGTATGTTCTCACGTTAAGCATGCGCCATACTGCATCCTAATCCACCTAACAGACCGAGTATGGGTCGGAGGAGGGGCTCATGGTAGAAATTCTTGGAGACTTCTTCCGGCATGGATTTGACGGATCTGGCGCTGATAACTTCTTTGATGCTGGATCATGCATAGACGGTATGTCTACTGAACTGCCCACCACTTGATTCCCCTAACACCTGTCTGTCTATAGGTCGTCTTACATCTGCTTGGGAATGGTGTAACAACCTGGAGAAAAAGAAATACTTCCCTGTATTCCTTCTCACCGGATTTTGGAGTTTTGATGGAGAGTTTAACTAGCGTTTTCCTCAGCTCACCTTTCGAGCATTTTCATAGTTATTATTCGTATAAATGAGGATGTAATAGCTGTTGGTGATGGAGCTTCTACGATTCATGCCGTGGTGGTAATCGACACGCAGTATACACGGATGCGCGCCGTGGCAGTTCCTACAGTTACCTTCTTCTCCCGACCATGAGTTCATATTTTCGCAACTTTTCCAATCCCAACAATAATAATAACCCGACACCTCCCCAAGGCGGATACTCAAGGCTTCCACCTGGCGCTGGAGGCGGTATTCCGAGTGGACCCCGTGCAAGTCGTGAGCCTCCACCACCACAAGGAGGAGGACTGTCTAGCTTGGTTGATCGTTGGGCACCAGCATATGGAAACTCGGAACCTCCTCAATACGGAGGTGGTGGTGGTCGTACGCAAACCAGGTCGGTTGAAAGAACATCGGTTATGTCTTGAGAAAGCGCTGATCATACTGTGCAGGAGCTTTGCCGTCAGACCATCACCTTCAGATGATGATTCCAGAAGCAATCGTCTCATAGCACACTCTAGAGATTTCCCAAACGGAGAACATGTCTTGGTGCAAGGAACATATGCTCTTACTGTCCGGTACTGCATCCACGACAAGTTGTCATACAGAGAAACTCAATGATTTCTTTTAGTCAGGATAAAACAGGAAGTCTTCAACCAGGCGAACTTGGCTTTTCTATGCTTCAACGACAATGGATTGGCGTCAACGAGAATGATTCGGTTTCTATTACCCAAATCGACATTGCTACCCTAGGCAAGGATGTGATTTTAGCAGGACTTGACATCGCAATTGGATTTATGAAAGCAAGGCTAATTGTCGAGGAAGTGTTTTCGATCGATGACCTCTCCCAATTTTTCCATGAACAATTCGATCGGATGATGTGCACACCAGGGCAGATGTTCTTCTTTGACTATCATGGACATAAAATGAAAGCTACTGTCACCGGTTCGTTTCTTTGGAAGTTACACATTTTATGCCCTGCATTGACGAACAATAGCTTGCCAGAACGTTGGAATACCTCCAAGAGAGCGTTATGGCCTCCTAGATAGCGCTACAGAAATCACGATCACTAAAGCATCGAGCAGCAGCATCAAGTTCAAGAGTAGTGCGAAAAAGCCACCACCAAATGCAATCCTTGCTCCCAACTTCCGCTTTGAGGACGTAGGGATCGGAGGTTTGGACTCAGAATTTGCTGCCATTTTCCGTCGTGCGTTTGCTAGTCGTATGTTCCCCCGAGGACTGGTGGAGAAGTTGGGCATTCGGCATGTAAAGGGTCTACTCCTTTATGGCCCTCCAGGAACCGGGAAAACGCTCATGGCTCGTCAAATTGGCAAGATGCTCAATGCGAGAGAGCCAAAAATCGTCAATGGCCCAGAAATCTTGAGCAAGTATGTCGGTGCGAGTGAGGAGAACGTTCGAAAGCTCTTTGCCGATGCAGAAAAGGAGGTTGGTGAGCTCCTTGCTCGATTTCGAATCGCCCCTCATAGTGGTTCTGTTTAGTATAAAGAAAAGGGGGACGATAGCGACCTCCATATTATTATCTTCGACGAACTTGATGCCATCACGAAACAAAGAGGATCAACAAACAGTGGAACTGGAGTGGGGGATACAGTCGTTAACCAGTTGCTCTCCAAGGTGATTATTTTGGTTTGAGTCGCGCCTCCTGGGCTTAAATTTTCTAGATGGATGGCGTGGACCAACTAAACAATATTCTAATCATTGGTATGACCAATCGTCGCGACATGATTGATGAAGCACTGCTTCGTCCTGGACGTCTAGAAGTCCACGTCGAAATATCTCTCCCAGACGAAGCTGGGCGTCTACAAATCCTAGCCATTCATACAGCTAAGATGACGAAGGAGAATGTAATAGAGAGGGATGTGAATCTGAAGGAGCTGGCGAGTTTGACCAAGAACTTCAGTGGCGCTGAAATCGAAGGGTTGGTGAAAAGTGCTACCAGTTTTGCATTCCAAAGACACATCAAGGTGAGTACAAACCATCTTTTTCGGTTAATTTCTCATAGTGTGTAGGTAGGAACAACAGCGGGTATCTCAAATGATGTAGAGAACCTAAGAGTCAGCCGAAATGACTTCATGCTTGCCCTCGACGAAGTGCATCCCGCATTCGGTGTCTCAGAAGAGGAACTGCAAGGCTTGGTCCAGAACGGTATCATTCATTACGAGGAGTCGGTTGAGGTTCGTGAACCATCCCTGATAGATACCCTGGCTAATTAGCGTATAGAACCTCCTTCAAAACGCTAAATTGCTCGTAGAACAAGTAAGGACATCTTCAAGGACCCCTCTTGTGTCTGTGCTTCTCCACGGTCTCCCGGGAACTGGCAAGACAGCTTTGGCAGCCACCATTGCTCAGAACTCCGAATATCCGTTTATCAAATTGGTCTCTCCCGATAAAATGGTCGGCTTTTCGGAACAGCAAAAGGTCCAGGCTATCCACAAGACCT